CCAGCCATGCTGGCTGGGAATTCTGGGAGTTGAAGTCCACTCATCTTAAAGTAGCCAAGTTGGACAACACTGTCTTAGGATAATGAGGTTCAACCACACAGCTCTGTGCAGCAGTATTTCCATAATTCATGGGCTTCTAACCAGTCCTATAGTAGCATTTAAGCTATCTCCTTCTTGGCCTTAGTTTTGTATTAACATACTTCTCCTTCTGCCATTCCAAATCCCTTGCTCTAGAATCATGGTTTTTTTTAAAAAAAAAAAATACTTGGATCTACCTATATTCTCAACTAAAAGGATTTCCCAAGTCCCCACCCATGTCTCTTACATTAACTGGTCTGTGGTCTGGCATCTGACCAGAACAGACAGCCACCTTCAAAACACAGATCTTGACAATCAGACTCTTGCCCATGGAAACCACATGTTCACATTCAGACAGAAAGGTCCCATTTCCTGGCCAGCACTTACCGACTCTCCTCTCCCTCCAGCAGTGTCCTGTAGGTAGCAATCTCAACATCCAAGGCCAGTTTCACATTCAACAGTTCTTGATAATCCCGCAGCAGGCGAGCCAGCTCGTCCTTTGCCGTTGTTAGGGCGGTCTGCAGGTCAAGCAGCTTTGCCCGAGCATCTTTCAAGGCTAGCTCCCCACGTTGCTCAGATTCTGCTATGGCGGACTGCAGGCTGTTAATCTGAAAAAGAAAGGGATGAATGTTCCCTTAGATATCACATTTTGTGTACATGAATGCAATTGCCTATACAAATTAATCGACTAATTAATTCGTTCAAAACAGCAGGGCCTTTTTAGTCACGGCACCAACTCGACGGAGTGTTCTTTCCAGGCTGGCCCCATCACTACTTTCATTTGTTTCTCAGAGAAGAATGTAAGAGTATGGCACGAGAGATCCATGACCAGTTGAGGGGATTCATTTCTTTCTGTTGGGTATAAGGTATCTGCTTTGCTTCTTGTGGCTTATTCATGTAAGCAACTGTTTCTTTAAAAATACCATTCTATGACCTTGTTATTATCACTTCAGCTAGAATATGCCCCCACCACTACCCCAAACAGGGGGTTTCCATGTAAACTGGATGAAGTGAAAGCATTCAGGTGGGAAAGTAATGGGAGAAGAAAACCAAACCAGTGAAAGTGAATAGCATAAAATGGGATACTGTTCTTCAGCTCTTCTGGGACTGAAGCCCCAAGCAGCTAGATTTTGAAGATATGCTTTGAAAACATGTGATGCAGTTTTATGGATGGAACTAAGGAGGTCTGAAGGATCCATGAGCTGCCTGGATGGAAGATGCCCCTTTCTCCCAGGAACCATACAGAATTAAAAAAAATAATAATAAACTGAATAAGAACGAACCTAAGACATTTTTGGAATATCTTATGAACTGCATACATTTCGTTCAAGATGGACTGAACCTAGGTAGTTATAAGAGATGAATCTTTGACCCTCATGAAACTACTAATTTCTCAGTTAGGCAAAGAAAGAAAGAAAGAAAGAAAGAAAGAAAGAAAGAAAGAAAG